CACACTCATCTCTTCTTCCAGTGTTAACTCATAATATACTGAATAAATAAAAAAAAAACGTAGAACAATGTCTCACTCCTTTGTTGACTTGGAGCTAGTCTGCTTCACCGTGTAGTGTCTAGACTGTGGCTTCCTGCCCTTTGTATAAGTTCTATAGAAATACATGAGATGTCCTGAGATTCCTGTTTTTTAACCACATTCTACACTTTAATGTCACCGTTGAAGAATTTTCTATAATCAATGAAGGAAACATTTATTACTTTTCCATAATTCCAATTACTCAGCATCCATCAGCAATAATATATTATTGTGTTCCCGTCTGAACTTCTGGCGCATCTTTTCCCATGCAAGGTTTAGATCTGTGTTGGAAGGCCTTAGAATTATTTTGCTAGCTTGTGAAATGAAAGATAACGAATGACCGCTCACACCCTCTGTTGACTCTTCTTGTGACACTGGTGTGTAGACTGACCACTTCCAATTCTTTGGCCATTGTGTCATTCTCTAGATTTGCAAGTTGCAAGTTTTACAGATTCTTGACACGTATCTGTAGATATTCCATAACTTCCTTCTAAAATATATCTGAACCTTAGAAGGAAGCTAGGCAGCATCTGGATACAACATTTATCTAGATTCCATGACACAAGTAGGTCTGAAAGACTTGGGGATCCTGGAAGTTGAAGTCCACACATCTTGAACATGGCCAAGTTTCAAAAACAATAGTTTAATGCTTGGCATAAACCCAGGCAGTGTAGTGTAATTAATATGCAATAATAAAAAGGCATTTGCAGCTTGATGAATTCAGGGGCAACAAGCTTGGATATGGATGTCAATTTTGATGAAGTCCAGCTTTGTACAGTATTGCATGGTATGGGTTAAGTGGGAATTGTGAAGAGTACTGAGAAAGTGGAAGAAAAAGAGCTCCAAATCTTTTTTTTGTATGGGTTATGATGCTGCTTACTTTCAATTCATTATGGAGGTGCAATCAAGAACTCTTCCTAGATATAATATTCCTTATCATAAGCTTTTTTCTCCAAATCCTCTTATCCACCCACAAGGTTGGGAGGCTGCGCTTGCTCAAAATTGGAACATATTTCCTTTCATCCATAAATATTTCATAAAGGATCCAGAGACATTCCTGCTTAAGCGTTTGTGTGTGTGTGTGTGTGCGTGTGCGTGTTGGACTAGAAGACCTCCAAGGTCCCCCTTCCAACTATAATTTCATTTTTTACAACGCGGAGAAACAAAACAACAGCCCTTGACGAAGGATGAGGTCGGTTATTTTATTTTTGTATTTTTTTTTAATCTAACGAAAGGGGTATCCAACGTTGGCAACTTTAAGCCGGGGGAATTCTGGGAGTTAAAGCCCGCCAGGTTTAAGGTTGCCAATGTGGGAGAACCCCGCTTTATACTGTAGACAGTGCCTTCCCAGCCTCGCTCGAGAGGCAACTGAGGGGGAAGATACCCGGATGGAGGAGGAGTCACTTGACAAGGGAGGCGTGCGGGGCCCCTCCTCCCCGCGCCTCTTCGCGCCAATCACAGGGCGAGGCGCGCAGGGCCCCGCCCTCCACCGCGCCTTCGTCCCGCCCCTCCCGGGTTCTGAAACGCCGGGCGCGCGCCTTTGACCGCCCCGCCCACTCCCCCCCCCCCGCGACGTGCGACTAGTACAGAGTACTGTATCCTTTCGGCCACCTCCCCCCCACACCTCAACCTCCCGCACGCGCCAGGGCTGAAATCCCGCCACCAAAACTCGCGAGAGGACATGTCCGCGGCGGCGGCAGCGGCGGCCGCAGAGGGTGAGTGAGGGGCGGATTTGCGGTCGGCGGAGCTTTGAACGAGAGGGACGTCACGGGAGCGTCGGGGATGGGGGCGTCCTCTCCCCTTCGCCGGCGGCTCAAGAGCGGCTGAGGCGAGACTTAAAAAGGGAAGGGACGAGAAGAACTTTCCTCCCTGTAACCCGCCTCAGGCGAACGGCGGCGGGGTTTTGTCCCCGTCTTTCTTTTTTTTTTTTTAACCCCGTCTCTCCTCAGAATGGAGGCGAAGTTTGAGGCTGGGAACGCGAGGCCACGCCCCCGGCGGCTGCGTTCGAAGCCCCGCCCCCTGGCATCAGGGAGGGAGGGGCTGCACGTTGCATGCCATCTCCGCGCTCTGCATAGGGTGGCTGGAGCGAGGAGGAGGAGGAGGAAGAAGATAGGGGTGGAGTCAGTGGGGCCTTTAATTAATTACATTAGTTAATTCATAGTTAAGGATCGGCTTTTCTGGGCCGCTGCACTTCAAAACGTTCTTTAGTAGGCACGCCACTCTTTGCCATCAATAGTTGTCAGGCTACAAAACTTTTCCCATTCAATCAACTAGAATGAACTTCTGAAAATGTATCAAAAGGAATCCTTTATTGAGATGAGACAATTCATGTAGGGGTTAAAAGCAGCCTCTAAGGCCTCTCAGGCATGCAGAGATAGATAAGGGAGTTTAAAGCCCCTCCCCTTATCTTGATATGTATTTAGTAAAACAAAGAGCCAACATGTTAATTTCCCCCCCACCCCCTTTTTAGAACGATCTTTTCCAGAGTTTCCCAGGACACATCTCACTGTGGAATTGTTATGGTCTCTTCATCTCCTGGCTGTCTCTCTCAGAGGTGATAGGTTCCCGGCCATCTGGGTTTCGTCCCTCCATTGTATCATGTGTAGGTTATACAAATTCGATATAAGATTAAATATGTTTAGGTTACATAAAGAAAGAGTTCTTTATCAGTCTCTCCCCCCCTTTTCTTCTTCCATTGAAGAAATGACAGATACACGGATCTGACAATAGCAATTATTCAGATAGTAGCCTCAATGCCTTTGCTGCTTCCCTTTTAACCATACCTTTAAAACCCAAAATGTCACAGTAAAATCAACCAGTTGAAGCAGGTAGAGGAAAGATTGAATAAGCATAGCACTTAGACTTATACAGCGCTTTACGGTGCTTTACATCCCTCTCTGAGCTGTTTGCAGAGTCACCATATTGCTTCCCAACCTTGAGCCCGTCAGGATTGAACTTCTGGCAGTTGGGAGAATTAGCCTGCAATACTGCAGTCTAACCACTGTGCACCATGGAAGGAAGGAAGGGCAATAGCAATAGTACTTAGACTTATATACCACTTCACAATGCTTTTACAGCCCTCTCTAAGTGGTTTACAGAATCAGCCTCTTCCCCCCAACAATCTGGGTCCTCATTTTATCACCTTAGAAGGATGGAAGGCTGAGTCAACCTTGAGCCCAATGAGCCTGAATAAGGTAGTGAGGTTAGGGATAAAGCCAAGTCCTTTAGTTTAAAGCTAAAGTCCTTTTTTAAAACCAAGACCTTTTATTTGATGCCAGTTTTCTTGAAGGGAATAGTAATAAAGTCATCAAAACGACCAATATCTTGGGATTTTTCTATGCCAACTATAAAAGCCCCTTTAAAAAATATTTCTTTATAACCAAACTGGGGTGCTAACGTGACACAAAATGTTCTCGTCAGTATGAGGGCAGTGAATATCTATGACTGAAAGCCATATGACTTGAAGAACTGACAACTACAAGGGACAATCATTTTCTTCTGTGATGATGATGGGGGTAATAACAATAACTGGGTTTGGGCATCTGTTTCTCTCAGCCAGAGGATCCTCACTGTGGGAGAAAATAGATCTCATTCTGTGCTTAGAGATAAGCACATACCAAACAAAATTACTACACTGTGTAGTATAGTAGAATATGTCCATTTTATATTCAACACACAGGTATTTGCCACTATTGCAAATGTCCATTTTACTTCTAATTTAATAACCTTGAAAGAGTGATTGGTGTATAAAGCCCCCCTGCCCTCTTAGAAGAATAAAATATTTTGGGAAATATTAAAAAAAGTAGGATTAAAATATTTTCCCTAAAGGAGAAATGAAAAAACATTAACAGAGGCAGAAACCAGCCCCAGTTTCCCTGCCGCAAGTAGAAACTGAGGAGGCCAGCTTTTAGAAATACAGATTTGGTCATTCATTCAGAAAGACTAAGTCAAGACGGAAACTCAGAAGGGCAACAAACAAAAAGGTTGACAAAAATAGCTCAAACACCTAGGATTTGCATGTTCTCTTTTGCCTGTAGAGCCGTCTATGACCTCTACATGACCCCCATAGAAATCCCAAAGGTATAAAAACCCACCCACACTAAACTTCCATTTTGTCAGCTGCCCAGAACCACAAACCCTAAACATTTATCATCAATAAATGGCCCCTCTTTCCAATCAGCCCCCAGCCTCCATTTTATTTCCAGTGCCTTCCTCCCGGCTTGGAACTGAACCAGATGGATTTTCCTTCCAACTCTGGTTTGATGTCACCAGGTTACTCTGTGCAACCCGGTGACTTCTTTTATTTTGCATATTATTATTCAAGTCTCGCTGGACAATTTCTGAAACAGATTTTAAAGACGTATGATATATTTCATATGATGTATACTCATTCTGAGGTGGGTAGCAAACAAATTTAATTAGTAGAAATAAATATATCTACTTTGTTGGAATACTAAATATCCAGTTTTTGTTCAGTAGCTTGCTTCTTGATTGAATCCTTTATTTTGATACAGGAGTATTGTGGTCATGTAGGAGGATGGTTTGTGTTTTTACTGTTCTCAGAATCCATAGCGCCTTTAAAATGTGATGCTGGGGGTTTCCTTATAAAAGCAACAGATTAGGTGGTAAGTTCATGTCTGAGCTATACCATTTAAATAGCAGTTGGGCGCCTGTTGAATGTTTCTAAACAGCAAAAGAGTGTGAAATACCAGAACACAAAATATTTTTATTCAATGTCTTATGAAGTAAGTTTCCTCCTGCGGGTTTTTTTAAAATGTGTACTAAAAGAACAATTATAGCCACTGCTGCCAATCCAGTATGTTTGCAGGAAATCCAGTAGATGTAGGAGTATTGCTGATGGTATTCCTGTTTGTGATCAGGGTCTAAGTGGCATTCTTTGATTTTATGAGGGGTGACTTTGAATCTTCTAAATGCAAAACACTCTCGCAGCTTTGAGGATCCAAGACTGAATTTCTTGGTTGTACTAGCCTGATATTGCATTTCACGGCTCCGCAAAAGCAAAATTATCAGCCTATGTTACAAAATGACACCGTTTAAAAATCCTACCAAATAACCGTGAGAAGAGGTAATGGCAGCGAAAGCATCTGGCATAATTTTTAATATAGTAAATATCAGTGGATATAATCCATACAAACAGAAAGCTCTTTTGGGGTCCTTCATAATTTTTAAATCTGAGAAGCGGTACTAAGAGAAAAACACTTAGGAAACGTTAGAGCGTCTGAACACACCATTTTCTGTTTGAAGATTTCTAGGGAAGTAGAATGCACCACTTCATGGGGTACCCTGTTCCAATGGCTTGATAGCTGAAGTGATCAGGGAATTCCTTGTTATGGCTAGCTTAAATCTCCTTTCTTGTAACTTTAACCTATTGCTTCTTCTCCTGGAAGAAGTAGGGATAGGCCTCTGGAATAGTAGGGAATAAATCCAATTCCATGTGGATTTGTCTTCAAACAAACCAGTATTCAACTATAGTTTTTTGTAGAATTTAATAAAAATATAAAAGAGTCCCCTCTTAAGAAGCTATTTGTCCATGACTAATCGTGTTATATCAGAAGAGCATGTGCTGTTTTTAGTAATACAAGTTGGTCCGTCATGATATAAAAATACTGGTATTGCCAACTGTGTGAATATGTTTACATGTAGGGCATTTTTGTATATTGAAAGATAAGTTTGACACAAAACAGTTCTGCCTGGAGCTCTTATTTGCACCTGCTTCATAACAAAGTGTACGTAGTTTACTCTTGTTTTTTCATTTGATACGTTTTGCTTCAGTAGCCATTTATTGTTGTATGAAATTGTCTAGTTATTTCCCATAACAATTTTACTTTCATTTTAGCTAAAGCTAAATGGAAGTGTTTATGTATCATTGAAAACATTCCCAGGTATTTTACAGAAAAAACACATTTTAAATAATTTATTAAGTACTAGCTATTATTAGTATTGAGCCCCCAATAAAAATAATAGGAACAGTGTAAATATGATAACATTATCCCATATAGTTTATGAAATATGTTTTAACTAACGGTCATCATCCAGTTAAATCATTAGATGCTGTGCTTTAATGTTATAGCCAAATAAGATCTCACTAATTTGTAAAAAATAGTTTAATTTTTTTCTGTGTATTAGCTCAACAAGGAAAACTGAATGTAGCTCAGGTCTACAAAATATTGTGGCTTCCTGTACTCGAAGTTAGGATTATTTTTTAGAAAAAAATGTTAAAAGTTTATTTTAGATTTTGTCTTTTTACCTTTCAGATTGACAAAAAGTGGGTTGAAACAGACTATAAGGAACACTGTTACAAGTGATTATTATTGAGGTAAGTGATTAAATGTTTTGGTACACACTACTGAACTTCATGCTGAATTGAGAGATTTAGTTTGCCGACCTATCCAGTCCATCACTTCTCAAGATAATTAATAACATTCCTTTATGGCATGAACTTTTGCTAGGACTGCAGTTTCCACTATTTTATTTATATTTTCTTAAGTGAAATGTAAAATGAACTACAAGGCTAAAAATCCACATTTTCTTGTTAGATTTCTGCAGCTCGCATAATATATTTGATAAGATCTATTTGAATAAATGGCAAAACTGGCATAAGTTATAATTTTGTGGGGGATGGGAGGAGGAATAGAGCATTCCTACCTTTGAGTTTCGGTCACAAAGAGCAGAGGTGGGGAACGATGGCCCCCTTATGACTTGTGGACTTCAACTCCCAGAATTCCTGAGCCAGCCATTCTGGGAGTTGGTCCACAAGTCATAAAAAGGCCATCGTTCTCCACCCCTGATGTAGGGGATCATTAGATATGGAGGAAAGATGTCTTTTAAATTTCAACCACTCTTGTGCATTATTTCATGGAAAGGAAAAGCTCTAGTCAGTTTTTTAAAAACGGTTTACTATATAGAGTGGGTTCATTTTAATTGTGATATTTTGATTTATTACTTTTGGAATAAGGTCAAAGTTATAATCGTATGCAGCATATAAGTAAAATATTTTGGAAAAAAAACCTACAGTAATCAGTATCCAAAAGATTATTGAATTTTGTGCCACAAACCCAAATGAACTTGGTCTCACTTTTGATCAAGCAACAGTTTTCTCAGTTTGAAGCTGAGGCAATAATTCAAGGAATATTTTTGAAAATAATATGACTGTTATTGCCCTTCTACAGAAATTCCATATGCTTCCAAAGTTTCTGGAAATTAAAACATACCCACAAATAGAAGGACAGTAATTTTAATGCATCTTCTCTTTTTCTTAGGAAATATAATTGTCTTTACTGGGCCATTTTAAAACAAAAAACAGTACATACATAATTCATGGGTTCAGTAATGAGATAAATACAATAGAGGAAAAAATCTGGTGATTTAATATCATTGATTTTGGGTTTGATCTAACATCCACCCAAATAAACTATTCCAGGTGATTTGGTTCCTTCTGTTTTTATATATCAGGCTATGTTGGAAGACTTTCTTGAGGTTGACTTAACCTTCCATCCTTTCCGAGGTTGGTAAAATGAGGACCCAGACTGTTGGGAACAATATGCTAACTCTGTAAACCGCTTAGAGAGGGCTGGAAAGCACTGTGACAGCGGTATATAAGTCTAAGTGCTATAGCTATTCTACCCTCACAATGGGAGCCATTTTTAGGTGGGTGCTGTAGATGAAATATTTGAATCGCCTGACCTATTTTAAAAATCTGTTTATATGGATACAGTTAATGATATGAATAAACACTGCGTTTCTGTAATAAATGTTTGAAAGGTCAATGGTAACACAATAAGCAGAGGAAAGATAAATGGATGTGGGAGTTTTGTTTCACACATTGCTTTGTTTTTATTATATATGAGAGAGGGAGGAGAGATGGGCAGTTAATGAAGATTTTCTGTGAATTCTTTTGGCATTAAAATATCACATTCTTATGAGGCAGCTATTGTCAAACATCAGCTTAAGTTGTTTACTGTATTTTTTATTGGAACTCTTTTGTCTGGTTTTTCTTCCCCTAACTTTTAAGTTACATCATCATCCCTTGTCCCTAGGCTTGCAATCCAAAAGAGTATTATATAAAATAAAAAAGGAGAAGGGGGAGAAAATAAACCTGTATGCTCCCATAACCGCCATCTATAATGGAAATGAGCCCTTTGGGGGTGGAATCAAGTGCCATTATCCTCGACATATGACCATTTATTCAGTGATCATTCGAAGTTACAACAGCACTGAAAAAAATGCCTTTCGGTTGTTTTTCACCCTTATGACCATTGCAGCATCCCCATGGTCACGCGATTAAAATTTAGGAGTTTGGCAACTGACTCATATTTATGACGATTGCACTGTCCCACGGTCGTGTGATCAAGTGATGTCGTGTGATGGAACCTTCCCAGCCAGCTTCCGACAAGCAAAGTCAGTCGGGGGCAACCAGATTCGCTTAATGACTGCATGACTTACTGAACAGCCGCAGTGATTTGCTTACCAACTGTGCCAGAAAGGGGCAAACAGTGGGCCAAAACTCACTTAACGACTGCTTTGCTTAACAGTGGAAATTTGGGGTTCAATTGTGATCGTAAGTCAAGGACTACCTGTATTCCTCTCTCTTATTTTGTTCCTAGGACGTTTGTTTCATAAATCTTCTGTGAGAAGGATATATTGATCCAGGTAGTAGTCAGCAGTTAAAATGACAATCCTAGCCCCGGGTTAAATTTTGTGTAGTAAATGAAATCTAATTCCGTGTATAACAATTAAGAAATCATAGCGGTGTTAGCTGAGATATTTAACTGGATTTTTCAGAGACATGCATTGGTAATTAGAGATTTTCGTTTTGGCTTTAAGGATTAAAACCTTCATCCCATCCTTTTACAGTGAATTAGAGATAGAAACTGATAGCATGATCCCCATGAGAGGCTTAATATTGGTGTGAAAGCAGGTTCTTGACATTTTTGTTGGTTATTTAATCACCTCTCTTTCAGCTCTGTAGTCATAAAGTTGAATATAGTAATAAAAGGCTTTATGCTTTAAAATAACTTATGCTAGTTTATCACTAATAAATACCATTAGCATGAAAATATAAGCAAAATGTTCCTTTTTATAAGTGGAAAACACTTCTCACTAGATTTTAAATTTTTAACTATCCAAGTCTTACACAAGGTTGCAACATGTAGTAGTGTAGGGATCTTAGTGCATAAGATAGAATGTATTAAGGACTAGGAGAAGATTTATGAAAACTATAGAAAAAATAGGATGATGAAAACATGTTTGCTTTCCTTATTTAATAACTTTGGGTATCTTATTCCTGGAACAAACATCCAAATAGAGAAGGGAATACAGAAAAAATGAAGCTCCTTTAAATGGATTTGTACTTGGCTTTCATAATTCTTCTATCACAAAATAAAATACCGTAATTCTTCTATCACTTATAGTGTTGGACAAGCGTTAGGCATTTGGACATGAGTTATCTCTTCTCTTCATCTCTTAATTGGCAAAATCATTTTTATAGTCAGAGAATCCAAGGGAGAGCCAAAAATAGCTTCATCCTTATGTAATTCTACTTTAAAATCTCCAAGCCCTCCACACTTGGAAGAAAATATTTGCTAAGTTTTTTATTTTATTGGAATCATAAAATATTTTATTCAGCAGTGGAAGAACAGTTCTACTAGGATTTAACTCAGATTATTTGCAGAGCCTAATAAAAGGTGCATCTGTTTTGAAATTACATTTCTAATAGGCCATTAGTACTGGGAATTTTACTTATGTTTTTAAAATGACTGCCTTATTAAGTATGGATTCTGCAAAGCCTGAAAGCAATTAGCACCATATATAAATGTAACACTTCAATTTAAAATATAAAATCAAATATTGCAATTAAAATGTTCTACAGGAATGCAACCTATATATTAACATATTTAACACATGTTTTATTTTTGCCTCTTTGATTAAAACAGCTAGTTATCCATAGATACATTTTTCACAAGGACATTTTCTTCAGGAAAAAAGAAACCACTGCTTATTATAATACATTAGTAAAGACTTTTTCTAATAAAAATTGGATTTAAGTTTGGATTACACTTAGAAACAAGTTGGAAACCAAAACAGCCTATCTTAATGCAAATTATACGTGCTATTAATGATGTGCTCCTTGCAATTCATGATTCTGTTTCATGTTGAATTAATAGAAGGTTTTGGACAGTCTCCCAATGTGATCCCAATTAAAACATTTAATAATTTATTCTTATTGGTTATGAAGTCAGAGGATTCTAAGATTCAGAGATTAGATTCAGAGTCAGAGGGTTTGTCAGGATTCTAAGATATTTATCATGGCTTTGTAGAAGTATGTGTCATTAAAATATATATCTGATTGTAGTAGCATCTAAGGCTCTAAGACCTGCCCACCAACCTCCCCCATCACACATGAAATTCAGGCTCATTTAGGGGAAACTCAAGTCATGAATCTTTTCGGTCATCTTCAGAGAAGTGAACCACAATTTATTCATCCTTACCCACTTTTCCTGCAGTACCCAGAATTAAGGGATGACAGGGCTGTAAATAGGGAACAGAAACAGCAAAGTCTTCAGATCATTAGACTGCCTCTGAGACATGGGGGTGGATGGGATAACATAAATCTCATAGGATTGAACCACAGACTCAACTTTTGACATCTGCCTGTGAAACAGGAACAGAATCATTACAACAAAAGTGTTTCCTGCTCCCAGCCCTACTCTTAGACACAGTATCATAGACAATAATGTGGAAAGCAGCTGAGATGTTCTAGACCTTCTTGTGTATTTCCTGGCATCAGGTAACACGTTAAGCCAAACAGGATAGTTTCAGTCTAAAAACAAGCCTGAAGCCAGATTGAACTGGATCACTTTAATCTGTATTTTCCAGAAAGACTGCAGTGCTTTTTGGCCATCCTCTGCTCGATAGCTTTTGTCTAGGTCTAGGATATCAGAGTATATCTGAGGCAAGGGTTCTAAATGTCCTCTCCCCTTGCAAAACGTTTTAGAGTTTTCTCATTCAAGGGATGCAAGTGAAAATCCCTTCTAACTGATCCACTGTTCTGTCTAATACAAGACAACAGCAACGTTGTTTTGATCATTTTGGTCATCTTTGGGGGAACTTAAGATGCCTCTGCCAAGTAAAGACGAGTAGCTTCAACGAAGAAGTCCTTAGTTGTGGGTCCTCAACTTATGGAATGTCCACTCTAGACATGTCCGGCTGCAGGTGATTTTTGGTGCTATGCTAAGACAATCCCTTCTTCCCAGTATTTTTAAATTTGTAGTCTGATCAGTTGCAAGTGACTATAATATATGGCAGCAATGGCCTTTT